GTTTGATTTACTTTCATTTAAAAATAATTTTACATTATTCCAATTTCCCACAAAAGCGACAGAATTCTAATTTTTATAATTATACGACCAGATATTTTTGGCATTCAACCAAGAATGATTACCACAACAATAGTAATTGATTTATTACTTAAATTACCTTTTCTCATAAAAAAGAAAATTCTTTCTTTTTTGCGCATATATGAGCAAAGAAGTCGATTGAAAAATTTTATGATGATATAATATGCGGTTGGTTTGAAAAAATAAAAAAAAAAAATTTTTTTTTTCAATATAGTTCTGAAACGAATTCAACGAAACTTGGTTGAAAATGAAAAGCTAAGCATTTTTCTTAAAAGCAGATAAAAACCGACATTATGATAAATAATTAAATTATCTTGCACTATTCCATCAGACATTCATTTTGACGAAAGAATTTAAGGCTGACCTATTTAAAAATACTCTTAAGATAAATCCGGAGATTTCGCATAATAAATTATATGCTCACTTTTCCTCTCTCCCTCTCTCTCTCTTTTATAGGAAATTGAAAAATAAACTATAAAATCATATTTTAAATAAGAACAAAATTAATATTTGTAACTCCCCTCGTTTTATATTCTAGAAATGTAAGTTAGTTTTAATTAATTAATTCAAAGTTTATACTAGACAAATAACTGGTAAATGTAATTAATATTTACGAAGCTGAAGTACGCAACGTTTATGATAAACGATTTTTAAAGAAATAATTTTTTAAAATGAAAAATTCTATAATTTTTCGCCTAAAAAATATTTCTTGTATTTTTCATTAATCGACAAATTATAAAGAAATATTTTTTAAGCAAAAAATTATAGAATTTTTCATTTGAAAAAATTATTTCTTTAAAAATCATTTATCATAAACGTTGCATACTTCAGCTTCGTTAATATTTTCAAGTTAGAAAAGGATCGTATACAGAGAAAAAGTCGATTTAGAAATTTTGATTTTGATTACTCTGCACAATGTATTATCTCCTACGACAAAATAAAGTACATTTTTATCGATTATATAACGCTTAGTTTTACCTTGTTTAGCACCTTAAATTCTTTTTAAATAGAATCATGATTTTGTTCTATTATATTTTTAAATTTATTTCGCAAATTGAGATGAAAGTCGTTTAAATTATATAAAAATAATTTTTTTAAATGAGAATCTAGTCCTATGTCTGTTTCTTCATAAACTGGTCCTCTACTCAAAGTATACGCTATGAAATATTTTTTTTGTCTTTAATTTATTCAATATCGAAATTGAAATCTTGAATAGCTAATATCCATCTCGTAATTTTACCGCTCAATAATTTTTACAATTTTTAACGAAAAATAACGCCTTATGATCGGTTCTTATAATTATATATAACAACCTAAAATGTATGATCGAAATTTCAATAAACTCCATACACACGGAAAAAAGGAATTGCTTACAGATACTAACTGATGTTTGCTATCGGATCTATCAAAATTAGTAACTACACGGAGAAAAAGGAATGGTTGGGCCAACCATAGGTATTGTTAAATACGTCCCATCAATATTATATGGTTACCACAACCATATCTTTAGTTGATACAACCATAGTATGGTTGGCGCAACCAAAGGTCAGGTTGACACATCAAATTTGCAATTTTTAGTCATTTTGATGTGACAACCTAACCTTTGGTTAGGCCAACCATACTATGGTTGAATCAACTAAAGATATGGTTGTGGTAATCATATAATATTGATGGGACGTATTTATCAATACCTATGGTTGGCCCAACCATTCCTTTTCTTTCCGTGTACAGATAAATTTTTTGCTATAACAACGAAAAAGTTTGCTATGATAAACAATATCAGTCTTAATTTTTAAAAATTTACTGTCACAGCAAACCTTTTTTGACCCCACAGCAAATTTGTTCGCTGTCCCTATATTAGCTAACGTAATTTGATGAGGCAGCAAATTTTTTCTATGCGTGCAAGTAGCTCTTTCTCTGTTGTGAAATATGTAAGTTCAGCTCCTTTTTAAAGTACGACTTGCGAAAGCTATTGTGTGATTTCCGTTTTTAAATAAAATGGTTTCGATAGATCAGGATAACTAAGAATTGTAAATTCGCAAAAAAGATTTTTAACACGATTAAATGCTTCTTCTTTTGACAAATTCAATTTCCATTTACTTCCGATTTTTAATAATTTAAGTAGAGAAACTATTTCTTGGGCCTATTTAGTGAATTTAGTATAAAAATTTACAAAATCTAAAAATCTTCAAACTTTTTTAAAATTTTTCGGCCGTGAAAAATCACGAATAGCTTCAATTTTTTCCGGATCTGGTTTAACGGCATGTGGGAGAAACCCACGTGACCTAGTATGGGAAAATGTGTTTTGCAATATCCCAACTTTCTCTAAAATGAAAAAAGATTTTAGGCTAACATTTTGAGGGTTGATAGATTTGGGTACAATGCACCGCGCTGTTCTCCTGAAAAAACTTAATTTTGCGTTAAATTATTTAAAAACTAATTTTAAAAAGTTTAATTTTTAAACGAAAATGACAAAAAAGATGGCGGCGCATACACAGACGTTGCTTGAGTGTGTCAGTGCTCCAGTAAACAGCGCCAATTCGAGCGAGTGGCCGCTGAATGAACTATGATTAAATACATTATTTTACTATTTATTGCTTTATTTTTATTATTTTTACGTAAATGAGGAGAACAGCCCTATGCTTTGCACCCTCCAAAATCAAGTCTTGAATATTTTAACCCGAAATCATTATTTATTTCAGAAAAAGTTGGAATCCACAAAAAAACGTCTATTTCCCACATGGCCTTAAGGTGGTTCTTCGGCTAATCAATTTTCTATGAATTTTTCTTAAACTTTGCAAAAATATTCCTTTTTGTTTACTTTATAAGTGGTAGAAAACTCAGTATCTCTATCCATGGAAGAAGCTGAGATATTCGGGTTCAAAGTTGGAACAATTAACATAGGATTCCTTTCCTAAACATGCAACAGTGATACATTTAATTTAATTTCTTAAAAAGTTTTCTATAAATTTTTTTTTTAAAACTAGTATATTGTAAAATGGAATTAATAGGAATAATATATAAAAAAAATTTAGTAGGGGTATCCATGCTAATTTTTAAATTGCAACGTTTTAAAATAGAAAAGTTAGGTTATTTATACATTTTCCAAAAGAGTCAAATCATGGAGTAGTATAAGGAGACCGAACGAAGTACATTGACAGTGGACCAAATTTTGGTAACCGCTTAGTGTCATAAAAATACGTAACGGAACACAAACGCTCTCGTGAGAAGTATGTAAACAGTGGGAAAAATTAGAAGTACGTTGAACATAACCCAAAAATACATTGCTCCTTATTTTTAAAACTTTTACAATGGCTGACTGTCCAGCTGAGTTTAACACAATCAATGGCGCTAGTGTTCCATTACGTATTTTCATGACACTAAGCGGTTACTAAAATTTGGTCCACTTTTAACGCAGATTTAACATGGTCGTTCGGTCTCCTTATACTACTCCATGAGTCAAGTATATTACTCGCTTCAGAATGAGAGAGAAAGCACGAAAGTGAAGTGAGCTGTTGATTAGTATAAACTACTCGCAAGGAACTGAGTACCACTGAAGCCATCATGTTGTGTTTTTCCAATCATTTAAAAATGTTTTCTAAGTGATAAAGATGTTCATTGATATTTTGTGATGTGCACAGCATGTCGATAATAAAAGTGATTACACAATTACCTATCCCACATAATACTACATAACATTTTCCTTCAATAATAAATCCCGTGTATTTTTTTACTATTTTCTGCTAATGAAATTTGCCAAAAAATCCTGACTAAATCTAATAAAGACATTTCTTTTACTCTTATACTTTTTTGACAGAATTTCTTTTTATAGATATACGAATTTTTACTTAACAAAATTTTAAGCTACCGAATTTTTGTTTGGCAGAATTTTTATTTTATAGCCATTTATATGACTTTTTATTTAAGAGAATTCCAATTTAAGCAAATTTTAATTCAGGTAACACAATTTTCTTTCATCGGAATTTTATCTGATTCGATATTTTAAATCGCACAGAAGTTCCATTTCACCAAATTTCCAATTTGTCCGAATTTTTATTTGTACAAATTTTGAAATTGATAGAATTTTTAAGACGCCGAATTTTTGATTAGTCCGAAATTACAAATGTACGAAGAAACAATCGACAGAAAGATTTCGATGCAATTTTCTTGTTGATTGTTTGTTTGGTCAATTGCAATTTCGGACAAATGAAAATTCTATCAATTAAAAATTCATACAAGTAAAAATTTCGGTGAATTGTAATTTTGCTCTCTAATTCTGAATTAGTAGTTTTCTACTAATAAAAGAGTGCTTAATCGTTTACCAATTGAATTAGTAACAGTTTTGACTCTTTTTTAGTAGAAAACTACTAATTGCTAGTAGAAAACTACTAATTCATGGAGTAAATCGGCTTACTAATTTGAAATAGTAAAAAATACGACTTGCTATAATGAATTAGTAGTTTCCTACTAGCAATTAGTAGTTTTTTACTAAAAATTAGTCAAAACTATTACTAATTCAATTGGTAAACGAATACCCACTCTTTCATTAGTAGAAAACTACTAATTCAGATTTAGAGAGTGTCATCATTTAAAAATTTGAATCACATAAAATTTGATTGAATGAGAATTCTATTAAAAAAAATATTTAACAGAAAATGAAACTAGATAATATAAAAATTCGAAAAAACAATTTCAATTTTTTTTAAATATAAAATAAGAATTTAGATATATCACACTGAAGTATAGGTCAGTGAACAAAAAATTGGATATTTTGTTATAAGAAATATATAGTGATCCTTGAAATGGAAATAATGATTTGCATAAATTTGAATGCCTCGATTATTATTATTATTATTATATTATTCGCAAGGTTAATGAATTTAAAAATAAATAAAAAATTTTTTTTTTATTTTTGTTTACAGGCATCAATTCTATTTGCATTCACGTTTGGAATTGGTGGAGGGCAGATTGAAGGTTTCTGATTGGGTATCTGTGGCCCGTTTGGTTGCTTTAATTGCCCAAGCCGATGGAGGTGATTACGACGCCTTGCAACCACCGCATGCACTTTATTCCCAGTGCTGTCATATTCAACCGACTGAACCTTGCGAACCAAAACCTCAGGACTTTTTACATCGAATTGTCCAACAACACAAGGAAATTAAGGTCAATATTGACTAATGAATTTTTATCCTTTAGAGTCACATTTATTATAATTATTCCCGGTAATTTTTTTTTTTAACTATAGATAAGAAAAAAAAATTTAAAGAAAATTTTTGATGGAATGCCCTTTATATAATTATGCGCATTTTGGGGCATTTTATTAAAAACGACCCACTTTGTAAATAATTAATTATTTTTTATTAAATATTTTTTTCTTCAATAACAAATTTTTTTTATTACTGTAATTTTTGAAAATGTTTTTAACTTTATGACAGTAAACGAATTTTTTAAAAATAGGTACAACAATTTTTTTCGACAATTTCAATAAACTTTTTTTTTTTGAATATTTAACAAAGGAAAATAATTTTTTTGCCTTTTTTCAGTGAATGAAAATAAAAAAAAAAAAAAACATTTTTAAAATTTAATTTTGCAAAAATTTAATTACCTCAACTTGTGTGGTATTTTCAGAGCAAAAGAATAGTACGAACAGTAAATACTCAATTCGTTTCGTTTGTGACATTCATCTCTCTCTCTCTTTCATATTCGTTTGAAATTGAATTAACGATAGTCTGAATGTTATATCACATCCGTTTTCACATCATTTACACGGTTATTTGTTCGCATTGTAAATTTAAATTTTCATTTCAAAAGATATTATTTTTTTCGTTTTATTTCAGTATATTAGATAAACAAAATTACATATTACACAAAACAATTTTTTTTAAAACAAAAACATTTTTTTTCCCTTTTTTATTCAAATAAAAAAAATCTATTTAAAAAAAAAATTTCTAATACAAAAAATAATTATTATAAATTAAATTGTTAGTATTAAATACCATTTACTTATAGCTAATTATAATTATAATAATCAATAATAATAATAATAACAAAATTAAGAAATAGTTTTCATTTTTTAAAAGCGAAAAATTTGATCGATATTTTTATTTTTATAATAAAAAAAATTATTTTGTTTATTAAAAATTGTTTACAAATTTTTTAAAATTGATTTATTATAAATAAAAAGTTGTAAAATCAATTTCATAAAAAAAAATTTTTTTATTTTAATTAAATTCGAAGTCAAAGGTAATTAATTGAATTTATTTTTCCCCCTACAGAGCATGAAAGCATCGACTGCTGAATATTGGCTATTAAAAGAAGTTTCAAATTTGGATACATTTGGTCAAGAAATGTTTAACAGTAAATTCGGATATAATGGAATTTCAATGATTGGCGTTGGACCTCACGGAATTACAGTTTATCGCAGTCAAGAAGACGAGATACAAAAGTAAGTTGAAATTTCAAAATAAAATAAATGAAAAATAATAGAAAAATAAAATAAATATATCCAAAAGAATTTTTGTTTTCTAAATTAACAAAAGTCTAGAATTATAATACTTTTTTTACGCTAATCAAAATTAATATAAAAATAAAACTATTTTATATTATTTTAGATAAAATGAAAAAAATTTTTAACTATTGCTTTTTTCGAAAATTTGAATTTAAAAAAATTTTAGGTACTGATGGCAGCACCTCTCAAGCGAAACACCGCGCCATCTCTGTGGAAATTATCCAAATTATTTGAAATCAATTTTACGTTAAAAAAATTCTGAATTTTTTAAAAATTGTTTTTATTTATTCTAAAGATTTTTTTTTATTATTCAAAAGGATTTTTTTTTACTTAAATTTTTAGAAAGTAAGAAAAATTATATCCAAAATTATTTAAGGGAATTAAAAAAATTTATAATAAATATCAATTGCTTTTATTAGGAATAAATTAAAACAATTAAATAATTGAAAATTTTAAGAAATTTAAACAATAATTAATTATAATAATTAAACAAAATAATTGAATCCAATTGTAAATAAATGAAATTTTCGTTTAATATAATTTCTATTTTTTTTTTTTTTTTACTAAAATTAATATTTCTTATTCGCAGCATACCCTACACGGCTATACAAAGCGCAACTTCCCAGAGACGGATGTTTCATCTAGTCTATCTTTCTCTCGACGGCGAGGAAACTTCATTGGATTTCAAACTCGACTCAAGTCAATCCGCTAGCGGATTGTATAGAGCGATTACAGAAAAACACGCATTCTACAGTTGCGAAACTGTTAGAAGTGCCGTCACAGCCCAATTTATTAGAGATTTAAAGGTAATAAATAATTTGTCAATTTATTTAAAAAAAAAAAAATAATAATAATAATAAAAGGCGAAAATATTCTCTAAAACTCGATAAAATAGTCAAAACTTCCTGTTTTACAAAATTTTTATAATAAATTTTCTGTTGTGTCATATTAAAAATAATCGAATTTTTATTTAGTAGAATTTTATATAGAGGATTTTATAATGAGCCTAATTTTCATGTTGAATAATTTCTATTCTACCAAAACTCTCATTTAATAGAATTTCTATTTAACTGCGCTGAAAAAAATTTTTTTGATTCAAATACATGATTACTTGATTATTATCAAATAAATATTTACTTGTACCAAATAATTTTTATTTGAATTAAATAAACTGTATTTGAATCAATAATTTCTGTATTTGAAACAAATACCATTTAATTGACTCAAATAATAAGTATTTGATATAAATAAATATTTATTTGATAACAGAATTTATGGCTAGCAAAATTTTCATAAAAAAGAATTTTCGTTTCTCAGAATTGTTCTTTTATCAAATTTTTATTGATCACAATATTCATTTGACAATAAAATTGTCATTTAACCGAAATTCTAACGAATCTGAAGTACGCAACATTTATGATAAACGATTTTTTAATGAAATAATTTTTTTAAAATGAAAAATTCTATAATTTTTTGCCTAAAAAATATTTCTTTTAGTTTTCATTAATCAACAAATTATAAAAAAATATATTTTTTTAAGCAAAAAATTATACAATTTTTCATTTAAAAAAAATTCTATACTGACAAGCTGAATTTTTAAGAGAAAATTTCAATTAAAGGGCAATTTTGTTAAATAAAAATTTGATCAAATTTATTTTAGTAAAAATTAAATAAATAGAATTTAATGAAAATTCTATTAAAAAGAAATTCTATCTAAATTAAATAATCTGCCACAAAAGAAAATTCGAGTAAATGAAAAATTTGTTAAATGAAAATTGCGAAAAAAAAATTCACAAACAATTTAAATTTTATTAAAAGATTCTACCTTATAAAAATTGACTAAATATAGAATATCGAAACTATAATTTTTCGTTTAAAATTTCAACTAACAAGCATTATATCTATAATTTAAAGAATTTTCATTCTGTCCATAAAAAATAGAGTATAAGAGAAATTTTTTTTTCCTTTCCTATAATCTTCTTTTTATAGACAGATATATGTATATATTTTGATATTATATATTGAAATCTTGATTTTTCCAGGGAACGATAATTTCAATATTCAATGAGGATTCAACTCTCGGCAAGAAATATGTGTTCGATATTCGTAGAACCTGCAGGGAAGTTTACGACAATGCGCGTCGTGCACTTTATTGCGAATCGGCAAATATAGCTTTACCAGAAGAAAATGAAATTTTGGAGAAAAACGATTGCAAGGATTGCGAAAATCCAAAGTGCAAGGTGTGTATTGTTAAATTTGAAAATGTAACAATTTTTTTTTCTACATTTTTGCTAATCTTACATTTGAAATTCAATTATATATTTGGTATAAATTTTTTAAATTAACAATTTTTATTTCTTTTAAATGCCTCTCTAATTGTCTATAATTTTCATCTTTTCGATTTTTCATTTTCATTTGTTTTGTTAATGTTTTTTTGTAAATTTTTGTTAATTTTTGTAATTAGTAAAATCATTTAATTTTATTGACTAAAAATAATAAATATAAATAAACGTAAATAATTTTCAAAATTAAATTTCTCTATACAAAAATTTTGAATTTTATTTATTGTATATTTTTTTTATTTTACAATGTAAATGTTATTATCATTTTTTATTAATAATAATTAAATCATTGGACGAAACTGAAGTAGGCAACGTTTATGATAAACAATTTTAAAAGAAATAATTTTTTAAAATGAAAAATTCTATAATTTTTCTGCCTAAAAAATATTTCTTGTAGTTTTCATTAATTAACAAATTATAAAAAAATATTTTTTTAAGCAAAAAAATTATACAATTTTTCATTTAAAAAAAAAAATTATTTCTTTAAAAATCGTTTATCATAAACGTTGCGTACTTTAACTTCGTATTATTGGTCGAAAAAATTCAACAAAAAAAAGAAAGAGATGGCGAAATTAAATTTTATTTCTCTTTTTAACTTTTTGTATGAATTTCTGGTCCACTCGTTAAATAAGCGCTAATTAAAAAAGAAAGTAAATTCAACAAATTGTAATTTTCTAACACTTTTTGTAATTTTTATAAATTTTATAACAAAATGAAGGTAATATAATTTTTATTTAAAAATTATAATTAAATTATTCATTGAAAATTTGACGATTCGATAAACAATTTCAGAAAAGAGATTTTTTTGGAAAAAAAAAATTTCGCCTTTGATTAATTAGTATTACAAAGAATTTTCAAAAAGAGAAAATTTTAAAAATCAGAGGGCAATTAAATAATTTCTCTTTCAATGTTAAAAAAAAAATCTTCAACTTAATTAAGAAAAAGAGAATTTTTATTTTTTAATTAATTATTTATTAAATTACAATTTATATGTAAATTAATATTGTTTATAAAATTAGTAAAAATTAATATTCTTTATATTATTATTATATATAATTATTGTGATTATATTTTTATTAATAATAATTTATTATAAACTAATAAAATTATAAATTATTAAAATACGACATCTATGAGGCATTTCATATAAGAATACGGGGTCATGTATCGGATTTTTCTCAAAATTTGGTAAATTGTAGTGATAGTGGTGCTAAATAAGTGTACAAATTTTGAATTTGAAATTTTTACTATTTTTCGAGATATTTACAATAACAAATTTGAGCATTATTTTTTTTGCTTTACTTATAACTTTTTTCCTACTAAAAATAGAGAAAAATAATGTAAATGTTTTTTACGTGAAAGATCTTAATCTTTTAGAAAAAAATTATTTTTTAAAAAAAATATTAATATTAATTCATGATTTTTTTCGCGCTTCTAAATGAGGGAGAACATGTTTAAAAGTTATAATCAAATTTTATTATTTAAACAAATTGTTTAAAAATTAATATTTTTTTTAAAAAATAATTTTTTTCTAAAAGATTAAGATCTTTCGCGTAAAAAACATTTACAATATTTTTCTCTATTTTTAGTAGGAAAAATGTTATAAGTAAAGCAAAAAAATATTGCTCCAATTTGTTATTGTAAATATCTCGAAAAATATTAAAAATTTCAAATTCAAAATTTGTACACTTATTTAGCACCACTATCACTACAATTTATCGAATTTTGAGAAAAATCCGAAACATAACTCAGTATTCTCATATGAAAAATGCCTCCTATATTATGTAAAATGAATTTAATTATATTGAAAAAAAAAATTTCTCATTTTTCAAAGGAATCACGCGAATGTTTGGCAAGGCTTTTGGATGCAATGCTGTGTCGTATCTGCATGGATCGCAGTTTAGACACAGCTTTATTTCCATGTGGACACGCGGTGGCATGTTTGGATTGCGCAAGACGTTGCGAACGTTGTCCACTGTGTCGTGCCGACATCGATCATTGTCGAACAATTTATCTTCCTTTGGAATTGACGAATGTCGATAAACACAGTTCAAAAATTTCCCTCAATAATAATGAAACATCGTCCTATATTCCAAAAACAACCGAAGTCATTGACGAAAGGATCCTAACAAATGAGATGGATGTGGTTAATAACAGCATCATTTGAGAACGCCGGGAGGATCGAAAATTCAGCGCAGTCGAGAGAATCGTCAGAATTTTCACATGCCGAATCGAAAAGGCATATTAAGCAAGATTTCTTTTTAATTCTGTTAATTTTAATTTTCAATTTTTATTTTGTTACCCAATTGAAATTTGTGATACTATTTTTTTTTTTTATTTTAATTGGCAAATTAGCGAAAATGTTTTTGTTTTTCTCAATTTCTTATTTGTTCGTACGCCTAAATGATGTAAATACGAGACTTTTAGTTCGAAAATTATATATTTTTCATAAAAAAAAAAAAAATAAGAAAAGAAAACGCAAATCGAAATTGTTTTTAAAAAAAATCGTTCTTTTCCTTCTATAATATAGTGATATACATAACAAAAAAAAAAAAAAAAAACGAAAAGATCTAATCTTTCTAAAAAAAAAATTAAATCAAGCATCAAAAATGATTCTAGATTTTTTTTCGAATATTATATGTATATGTGTGTATGTATGTAAATTTTGCATAAATGTGCGAGAATTTTTAAATTTAATTTGTAAAATTAAATAAAGTACATCCCTTTTGTGATGGGGATGACAAAAGTGCTATTAGCAGCAGAAATTGTTCGAGAAATAATGCTGCCGCGATTTTTGATTAAAAATTCGCGATATCAATAGAAAGAGAGAAAGAGAGTATGATTGAAATTACGAGAGAAAGGAAAAAAAATTGATTGGAAAAAAAAAATGAAAATGAGAGAGGAAAACTCGTTTTGAGAAACAAAATCGAGAAAAAAATCGAAAAAGTAAATTGAGAATAGAAAGAATATAGAGAGAATTATAAATCAGAAAGTAAAAAAAAAAAAGGTAAGACAAATTTTTTCAGAATACTTTTTCTATATGAGGAAGCAAAATAATTGAAGTGAGAAAAAAAAAATATCTAACGAAACCGAGTGAATAAGTGTGAAAGGCCCGAGAGAAAGAGAAATTGAATGTAATGTGTACGTGATTTTTATTGTTGAGTGATAAATGGACCAACGTGTTTTTTATGACTCATTTAAGACATTTTCCTTTCGCAGATGTTGCTTCAAAGTTTTAGCACATTTCCCCCCCCCACCTCCTTTCTTTTATTTTCGACACTTTTTTTTTTGTATCAAAGGCCTAACCAGGTTCAGAGGTCATTGATTCTTTTTATCAAAAGGAAATGACCCTCTGGTATAATAATTAGTATATATATACATATATATAAAACATGATTATTCACTATGAAAATAGAAATGAAAATTTCAATTTAAATTCCCGGGGAAGTGTCATGAAAATATATTTAAAATTGCACTGAATCGAAAGCAAAATGAAAATTAAAAAAAGAAACTTAACGTAAAAAAAAGAAAATTAGTCATTGAGTAAAAATACAAAAATACTAAAGCAATATAAAAATAAAATAGAAAATTACACAACTTGGGAGTAAAAAATAAAAATAATTCGAAATAAATATGAAAAAAAAATCGTATTCAAAAATTTCATCGAATAAAATTATAAATAATTTTAAATAGTAAAAATAATTATTAAAAAAATAGAATCAAGAATTTAAAAAAAAATGCAAATAATGAAATAATAAGAATGGAAATTTTTTGAAATTATTAAATTAAAAAAAATTAATAAAATAGAAAATCGAGGGAATAATTAAAAAAATTCAAATTAAATGGTAATAAAAATTAATTGTACCAAATAATTTTTATTGAAATCAAATAAATTTTGTAAAAAAAAATATTATCAATTTTTATGTAATTTTGATTTTATAATTACAATAAAAAACGGTTTTCAACAAAAAAAAAATTGTAATTTGTAATTAATTAATTTTAAATTTTTATTTTTTTTCATTCTTTAATTACATATTCTCATAAAATAACAAAATATTATTTATCTAATTAAATAATTAATAAATTCAAAATTAATACAAAAAAATAAAAATTTCATAAAAAATACTGAAAATTTTTAATCTTTTTCAATACAAAAAAAAAAAATAAAATAAAATAAACATTTCCTCAGTTCAGTGCAATTTTAAATATAAATAGGAATTGTGTCAATTTCAAAAGTACGTGAATGCTACGAAATGAAAAAAAATCACATCTACTCGTTATATTTTCACGAAATATTTACAACACGAGTAGAAAATAATAATACTACCATAATATGTGTTTATATGTACAAATAAAATATAATAAAACGAAAATCAAGCGAAGTTAATACGTTTACAAAAAAAAAAAAAAAAGAAATTTCATTCAATTTTGTTAATTCCAAATTATCAGTTTATCACAGGAAGATAATACAATAAAAAATAAACAAAAATCGCTTGAAACTAATTCAATGAACGAACACTCGGTAATTGTTCTTCATTTTTTAAATATATACGCTTAAAAAACAAAAGGAGAGAGTTTTTAAGAAAAAGGCAACAAATCATTTTACGAAAGAAGTTAAATATACATAATAATAATAATAATAATAATAATAATAATATCATTAGCAAATGAAATAATTTTTAATTAATAAAAAAAATAAATTTACAAAATTATCATTTCAAATAAATTCTATCTTTTCTTTGAATTTTAATTTATTAAAAAAAAAAATTTCTTCAAAAATGATAAAATTTATTTGATTTGTTCTGAGAGATAAATGTATACGTGTGAAAGAGAGAAAGAGAAAAAATGAAAATTGTGGCAATCAATTATAGTCATTCATCAATAAAATGTACACACATAGTTCGTAAAAATTATTTATAAGAAAAATCGCTAAATTTAAGCCCGAAATTTGTATTTACACGCAATCGCATTTGATGTTAATCATATAAAATAAGAATTAAAAAATTTGTAACGCAAATTTCTTTTTTTTTTCAAAACATAATATATAAGAAATAAAAAAAAAAAACTTCAAGATTTTGCAAAATAGAAACATTCAGAAATTCTGAAGAATTAGAAAAAGCATATAAAATAATAAGTAAGAAAAAAACATTTCTCAACAGATTATAAATAAATAAATAAAAAAATTGTGAGATTTATCAATAAGTAAGAAATCAAATTGTATAATAAAACAAAAAAATTAAAGTAAAATTACAAATGATAAAAATAGATAATGAGAATAGAATTCAAATAATTTTGGGTGTAAATACAATTATAAAACAAAAAAAAAACCGTTATCTGCAAAGCTGTTGTCGATCACTGTAAAATTATTACGACTGCTTAATTATTAAGTTTTGCTTAGCGTTTTTTCCCCCCCCCCCTCTTTCAACTTCTTTTTTTTGTGAGTTTATTGTGGGTGCGACTGTTTTTCGAGGAAAGTGGACTGAAAATTTATAAATCCCCGAAAAATATCTTTCTACTACTATTGCGTGTCTATTTGAATAATATTTAAGAATTACAATGATAATAATAATAATAATAATAATAATAAATAATAATAATAAACGATTACAATAATAACGCTAGGAAAATAACGAGATTTCTTGTGATTACGTCATTGTACGGTAAAACTTTAAAAAAAAAAAATAAACATCCTAGTTCTTAGAATCCGCAAAACGAGAATCGATGTACGATCTCATAACTCGAAAAAAAAATCATTATTTGCAAAGAGTATTTTTCAAGTATTTCTTATGATTTTTTAGTATTAAAAGAAACCAGGGGTCCACTACTCATGGTGGCATAATAATAATAATAATAATAATAATACATATGTGAAACATATTGAATCAATTCGAATGACATAACACATAGAATTACGTACCACATCGTGTCCCCTCTTAAAAATGATTAAATATCATAAAATTTATATTAACTGTTTTTTATTTACAACAATTTCCTCTCCAACCCCCCCCTTTTTCTTTTAATATCAATATCAATTTTAAACTTATTATTTTATTACTATTATTGCTTTTTTATTAATATTATTCGCATTTTCGATATAAAATCCAAATGACAAAAAAAAATTTTTTTTCTATAAATTAGGTTATAGATGGCGCCAATTAATTGACCACATCAGAATTGCTAAATTTTACTTCTTTTTTTTTTTTGAGAAAAAGGTAGAAAATTGAGAAAATAGATGTAGAAAAATCAAAATGCAAGTAAAATTACCTGATAATCCGCAGAGTTCAGAAAATTGTTCACTATGGTACTGGTTGGAAATAACCGTTGGATAAAAAACACGTCGAGTACATTCCGAGGATTCCAATTATTTGCAATTGCGTTGAAAAAAATTTTTTAAAAAAGACACTTTTTCAGATACTTTACTTTGAGATACATAAAAATTTCACCAAAGAGTTAAATAAAAATTACTAAACTGAACACCGCGGTTATACGCGGCTTTATCCCACCACTTTTACTTATCACTCAGAATTCCAAAAATACAATGACGCGCAGTGTTCTTTTCCCGCCTTCGTACAGTCCACAAAAGAGTGGGGGAAGTGAGAGAAGCGCACTCTTGCGGAACAACAGGAAAACTCAAAATATCAACTGTCGGTATTATCATTTATTGACAATTCATGTAGAAGTAATAAATTCGATTATAATATTTAATTTTATAATTTTTACATTTACGCAAGAAAACAAATTACAAATTTATTAATAATCAATCAATAAATGCTATTTTCAAAATAGTGTAAATATTAAAAAAAACTACAAAATTTGCCTTTGGAATGATATTTGTGAAGGATAACCTCAAAAATATTTGTGTCATAAATATTTTTTTTAGTAAGTAAAATTTTTTTCATTATTATTTTATTTTCGAAAAAATTATAGATAATTAATAATTGAATACTAAGCTTCATAAAAAATAAAAACAAAATTTGTAAATAATTAGTAATTTTAGAATAATAAAATTAAAAATAGACTTTATTTTTAATTATTGAATTTAAAAATTCTAAATATTGAAGCAAACAAAAAAGATAGCAAATTAATTTAACAACTACAATTAAAACAATGTACGAAAGCAACATTTTTCATAATTTTAAAATTTTCATTTTTTTAATTATTGGCAAATGTAAAAAATAGTTTAATTATATTTCTTAATTAATTTAATACACTGATATTAATAATAATAATAATAATAATTTTGTTATTTGCATAATTAATATTTAATTAAAAACATTCAATTGATAAAATATTGTTTTTCAATAAGAGACAAACTTAAAAAATAATTAAATAATATTAATAATAAATAATTTTTTAAATATAATTATTATAATTATTTAATTTTTATTAAATTTATTTAAAATACAATTTTTTTTTCTTTGTATTTTAAATATAAAATTATAATAAATAAAAATATTTTAAATAGAATATACAACTATAAACAATAAATAAATATGTAAAATTGTAAGTAAATAATATTATTTACAATTAAACAAAAAATTGAATTTTTTTTTTTTAAATTTAGAAAAAAATATAATACAAAATTAAAACAATTTGTTAAAATAATTAACTATTTAAGTAATTATAATTTTTTTCAAAATTATATATAATTAAATAATTAATTACATTATAATACTCTGGATATTTTTTTTAAATTTGTTGAAAAAATTTTTTTATTATTTATTCTTTTAACTTTTATAATATAATTTTATTAACTTGAAATTCATTTTTAAAATAAATTCGACTAAAAATTAAAAATTAATTAACAAAAACTGTTTTTTTTATTATTTCTATTATATTTTTATATTGTATATTTCATTTATAAAAATATTATTTATAATATAATTTACATATATTTATATTAATATAAATATACTTTATTGATAAAAATATTATTTTATTTTCAAATAATCTTTATATTATTTCAAATTGACAAATTTTCTAAAAATATATATATTTTTTTATTATTCCGATAAGAGAGAGAGAAAGAGAGAGAAATATTTTAAAACGATAATTTTATTCATATATATTTATACAAATTAACTGCTATATTTTATTTTATTTTTTACTCGCTAATACCATTGAAACTATCGACCGCATTTTCTGATAATGCCAATAAACTAGGTAAACACTAAATATATTATTATTATTTCCACTGAGAATACATAATAATGTATTAATTTGAATTTACCGCTTATTTTAAAATCGATTGCGCATGTCCATAATGCGTTGATTGGTTAATGTGTATTTCGTGGCGCATCATGGGACATTGGGACATGGTACAAGATGGCGGTGGAGTGAGTTGCACTGTAGCCTCGTAAATGTATATTTTCTACTCGCCGGAGTTGTTTAAACATATTTAATTTAATCACAATTAGTCTGATACGCGATCGGACTGATTTAAACTGACGCGCATTCAATGTAAATATGAGTGTAAAGACGCGCAGCGACAAGGTGACACCCTGCAATTCGGTGTGGAGCTCGAGTACGTATGGCAGAGACTAGAGAAAATTCAAAAGATATAGATAAGCAAAATTTTTCACACGCTGCTGCTTGATTATACGATTCATCAGCAATGTTGTGGCATAATCATCGAAATTGTGAGAATGTGAGTGTAAAATTTAGTATAATTTAATTAATGTGTATATTCTATACTTGAGGGAAAACATGGTGTGCGCGTATTTCGGGAGCCACGATCGGTGTCCGGTCGTCTAAGTAAAAAAACCTAACGAAATAATTTCTTAATTTTTACCGTTTATCCACCAATTATTTACTGATCTCATCATTGTTAATCTACAAATTTTTACAATTTTTTTTTTTTTATTCAAGTGCAATGAAGGGGTTAAAACAAAAAAAAAAACGGGGCAAGTTTTCATTTTTGCCGACGCTTGAAAAAAATGTCCCACCATTATGAACCCGCAAAGTTCGTCTCGCCGAACAACTTATCGTGGTTCCTCGTAAAAGGAATTTCGGCCTACACGAATTATTTGACCATATACTCCCAATAGCCATGATTTCCGGGGATTTTAGGCAATGTGAAAAAAAAATTTTTTTCTCCAAAAATATATATGTAGAATATTTATGTGGAGGGGAAAAAAAATGGTAATCAAAAAATAGCTCATCTTTCGTTTGCAAGAAAGTTGGTGTGTGCAAGAGTGTTTTGCCCCCCGTGTTTTATATCTTAAAAAATCCATATTTTTCCGACTTTAGACGATTCATTTCTTGTCATTTTTTGGAAAAATTTCCCATTCTTGAATTCAATAATTCGTATATGTAATTTTCATCTAGACACATTTGAGGATGGGCCATGGGGATGATAAATCATTTCCACACATCTTTTCTTGCATCGGTTTTTCCACAATTTTAAGGTTAACTTTCGTTTTTATCGTGCAAGAAAATGCAGATACATACTTTTTTTTTTTTCGTAAATGTGTTTGTAAATCTAATTTTTATCAGGTTGAAAATATATTTTAAAAAAAGAATTTTAAACGAATGTATATTAAATGTAAATTAAATATATTAATATGTTTATAATTATGTAATTAAATTTTCTATAAATTATATAATTATGAGAAAATTGAAAAAAACGTCATTTCTCGAAGAAATAATAATCTAATTATTTTTATGTGTCAAATAACTAAATTTCACATAAATTATCTTCATTGTTTTTTTTTTTTTTTTTTTTTTTTTTGAAAAATTATAATGAAATTAAAATACTTGATATTTAAATTGTAAAACGAGATTTCTTTTTTATCAATTGTTAGTTTTTTTTTGTCTGATTAATTGATTCATTTTTTTTTTTTTTAATGGACAATTTTAATAGCCTTTAATGCCTTTAGCAGTATCGTGAAGCACAAATAAAAAGTTAGCATTTTCGTTTTAATAAATGATAGTAACTGGAATCGTTGCGATACGTAGGCAAATTCCTATTACACCTTAATTGCTTGTGCCCATATGTTTAAGCTTTATTACCCACATTCCTCTTGTTTGTTCAGTTTTCTTCAAAGAACGCTGTATATTCAAAAAGCACAGCTGTTCTTTCGTTAGCTCACTGTCAGAAAGTTGAAAAATGGAGAGTTTAGTGAACTTCTTTTTTCATCTAAGTGTTTTTTTTTTTTTTTTTAACTTCTATTTCTCTTTTTTTCGTTCATTTTTTACTTTTAATCGTAATTTCCTATTTGATTAAAAAAAAAAACTAACCTCAAAAATTCGTTTTTCAAATATTTGCAAAAATTTGAATTTAAATAATTAAATTTAAATTTTAGTCTATTAATTAGAATTGAATATTATTAATCAATTTTATTTGTTTTCTTACATGTGTTTAGTTAATAAAATTAAATTGTAAATAATCAAAGGAAAGTCAGAGGGAATTTCTAATATTTTTCCTCAAGGGCGAAAATTTTGTGGAAAAATAATTGAATTTCTACTGACCTTGTTTTTATTATTTACAACTCAATATTATTATTATATTGCTAAATTTTCAATTAAAATTTTTTTTTATTATTTTATATATAAGAAATTCTAAAAAAAAAAAATAATTTCAATGTTCGACATTCAATCGATACTTGATATATCTAATATTAAAGTTATTTGACGTTTTATATAACAAGCGAACGATATTTAATTTAATTTCATATTTTTATGGCTTTTTTTCTTATATTTTAATTTAATGTTACGCTTGACGTTAAAGAAATATCATCTTTTTTCCATTTTAATATCATGTAACGTAATGCATACTCCCATTTTTTTTTTTTTTTTTTTTTATTCGTAAATTAGCGAAAAATTCTGAACGTTCAAATGGAACGAAATATTTTTTTTTTCAATCCTATAAATTATTAAAAATTAAGATGGCAAATGTAAAATAAAACAGTAAATTAAATTATTAAATTAATCATTTTTTTTTTTAGATATTTAAAACAATATTTTCTAATAAAATTCGTACGTAAAGAAATTGCAAAAAAAAAATTGCGTTCATTTGAACGTTCAAAACTTTTGGCTCATATTCGTCATTGATTTTTGTGTTTTAATATTTTAAGAAATCGATAATAATTTTTTTAGATTAATAAATCAAACCAGGTCACATGTATCTGAATGTTTTATATATTTTATATTTATGTTTCTTCAATTTATTGAATCGTCAATATTTTACTATCAATAGGCGTTGAATTTTTTTTTTTTTTTTTTTATTACAAAAAGTTTGTCTCGATATTAAAGAATTATATTTAATCAAGTAATGACCAAGAGAAACAAACATTGATATATTAAGATATAAAAATTTGTAAAAAGAATAGTAAACATTTAAATTAGAAAAAATGTTTTTATGTATATAAATATTTTTTTAAACCAAATTTTGTATAAAAAATATTTTTTTTAAACCAAATTTTGTATAAAAAATTCTTTTCTTTTTACTTTTAATCGTATAAAAAAAGTGTTGAAATTTTTTTTACATGTTTTTAATGTTTTTTTTTTTAAATGTATTAATAGACTAAGTTTGTATATTAATAGGCACACGATATAAGTATTTCTTTTTATCCATCATTGAGGAAAAAGGGTCACAGCTGCACCCAAATCAACTTATTTGCATACAATAGAGTTTGTTTAGATATTTTTGAATCATAGTTTTGTATGCTCTGTTTCAAATGAAATATATTTAATTTTTTTTTCATCTTTTTTTATAACTCTATTTTTAACGAAGCAAAAAAAAACCGGTTTCTTTGACAAATAGAATAAATCATTTTTACAAGATTCATATAATTTTTTTTTTTATTATTATTATTTTCTTTTGGCAACTTATATGCAATCGTTTATTAGTAATCATTATAGAAGTGGTAAAAAGTTGACAATTTTAGACTTTGACTTGTAATTGCTGATAATTAAAAACAAGTTTAATTTAAATTGTCAACGATTGATTTATAAAAATTATGGCAGACGGAAAAAAATTTTATTTTTAAGATTTTTTTTAATTTTAAAAGATTTGAATCACTTTTTGAATGGAAAAAAAATTGTTAGTTTTCAAAAAAAAAATAATTTTATTTAAGCTGGCGAAAATTTTATTTTTTAAATTAATTTTTGCTGTGTAATTTTGGTATTTCAATTTTTTTTCCTAATTTTCAAAAAAAAATTAAAATTTAAAAAAAAATAGGTGATACTTTTTGTTTCTTCGGGAAAAAAAAAATTAATTACTTTTTTATCAGCTTATAATTTATATGAATAATTAAAGAAAAATTTGTATTTAATAACACATCAATATTGTGTTAATTTATTTAATAATTTGCGATTAATCGCTGTTTATTTAGAAATATACTCGTTAAAAAAAGATTACAAAAAAATAAAAAAATGAAAATTAAATATTAATGTCTTTTTAATAATTATTTGATAATTATTTTGTAACAAAGTATAACAAGAATGATTTACGGTGGTAAAAAATTTTTTTAAGGACAATACAGGTAACATTTTTGTTCACTTGTCATCGATATCAATGTATTATTATTAGCTTTGAAGAAGGTTATGCTAACAAGGGAGTGCTAACATCTAAAAGTTTTTCACAGTCGATACTTTGTCTTAATACAAAGTAATGTTTTTTTTTCCTTCTAAATATTTTTCAATAATGAATTCGTCAATTTTAGTTTTCAATGCGATAATGAAAAAATTGTCTCATTTCATTCTTCATTAATTCTTTTTTATTTTGCGAGTTATGAAGGAAAAATTTAATTACTACTTCTTTAGGTACAAATTTTATTACAAAATATTGGTTTTTGTGCCAAAAAATAAAATAATAATTTAAATTTTATTTTTAAAATATTGGTTTTTGTATCAAAAAACTAAATAAATATTTAATTTATTTTTCATTGCAGTAGTAATTTAAAAAAAAAATTAATAACAAAAAAATTCATTTGAACGTTCAGAATTTGTAAAAACTTGAGTTCTTTGCATTTTATTCCCTTGAAGTTTAAAAAGTAAAAAAAAAAAATATATTGTCATTAAATTTAAATAATATGAAAGTTTGAAGAATTGCATAATTATCTTGTGTTGTTAAGATTGCACATATATTCTAAGCGAGTGTAATTTCATAACGTAGAAAAATATTTTATAGTAAATAATTTTTTTTTTCTTTTTTTACGTGAAGTTATAATAAAATTTCTTTCTATTTGAGTTATTAAGTTTTTATTAAATTACTATTTCTATATTTATTTGAGAGGAATTATAAAATATTTAAAATACCATTTAGTTATAAAAATTATTCCTTAATTGAAATTGTTCTCGAGAATTCGAAAATTCACCTTTCAAAAAAATTTTTTTTCTATTTCATTTGACATCATTCTTTCAATAGCTTTTCACTGAGATCCAGAATCTTGGGTTTTATTTACAAAGCGTCATAGAGAACTGAGAAGACAATTCACTTAAGTTAACAGATCTGTGCAAATATTGTACATATTTACTTCAAATATATAGACATTTCGTGCTTTTTATTTTTTTTTTTTTAAATATAAAGAATTTACCATTTAAATAATAATTATTTAATTGAAAAAAATATCTGTTTCAGAAAAGTGCAACAGTTTGTAGAGACGTTAATGTGATTGCTCACTGATATGGTATTGTTGTATCGTATGGAGAAGAGAGAAAAATAAAAATAGAAAATAAAAAAAAAAAAAAAAAAAAAACAACAGGGAATATTGTTGGTGATAATACTGATGATTTCCTGACATGATGGAAAGTAAATTGTATGTGAAAAATGAGCCGGGACTTGAAGGGCAATCACTTGCTGCAATGCAAGGGAATCCTCCTCCTCCTCCTTTATCAGCGTCAACATTACCAACGGATGATGGATTATTACCACGAATATGTTTTGTTTGCGGTACATTGAGCCATAATGAGCAATATTGGCTAAGAGTGAAACAAACTCCAGGCTCAGCTCCAAATGAGCCATTTTTTCCATTTTTAGAGACACACGAACCGCCGGTCGGCTATCGTGGCGAAGGTGTGAGAAGTGGAGCCATAAAGGCATGTAGTCTCTGTTATACATTACTTCTTCAACAATGGGATAGCTATGAGCGTGATGCTCGACCACATAATCAACGTATTTATTGGTTAAAAAGATGTGACGGTGGGCCATTCACAGGTGCTGAAATGGCCCTACAAGGTGAATATGCGGCACAAGTTCTTGGTTTAACGAATGAACAAACAAGACAGGAAAATAGTGGAGGTGGTGGTAGGCCAGTTGGTATTTCACCACGATTACCGGCAAATTCACCATCGCCAAGAATTGAACTACCAACAAGTAGACCACCATCGAATTCATTGGAATTATCAAGGCCACAGCATCTTAATAGCAGCGAAACTGCCAGGCACATTGAACAGGCAAGGCTCACTATGGAGTCACCCCATCAGAAATTACAATCACCGCATCAAAGACTGCAAAGTCCACGACAACATGTTGTTGAGGAACCAAGAATTTCCAATGAGGCTGCACTTGACTTGCGACATGCACCAAGAAGTTCACCTGTACCGCAACCCACCTTACCACCTCAACCACAAGGTACAAATTTTTTATTTACAAATTATATTTCCTCTATTGAAGAGAAATTATTATTATTAAACTTAGTCGAAAGATGCATTGCGAGCAAGAAAATCTCTTTTTAAAGTCAATGAAGTTTAAATGAAAAATTTATTTATTATTTTTCGGATGAAAAAATATTTTTTTTTCCATCATTCAAACTTTACTAAGTTTTTTTTCATATATACTCGTTTCAGATTTTATTCTGCTAAATTACTCACAATTTTTTATGATAATTTCAGATTGATTTTAAAAATCAAAAAATAATTCTGTTGAATTAATTTTTGACTATTGGGATTTTCTGTTAAATTAATATTCGAAAAGATAAATATTCTTAATATTTTTTTCTAATCTTCTTTCTGGTTAATTGGGATTCTTTTGAATTACTATTTTGTAAAATTAATATTCTACGAAACTGTTTTTCGCATAAATTTGAGATTCGATTAAATTGAATTTCTGGTTAATTAATTTTCGTCTAAATAAAAAATTCTGCAAACATTGATAACAATCGGTTAATGAGCCAAAAGTTTTGAACGTTCAAATGAATGAAATTTTTTTTTTTTGGCAACTTCTTTAAGTACGAATTTTATTACAAAATATTGTTTTAAATATATAAATAGAAGTTATTTTATTTAATAATTCTTTAATTTACTCTTTCATTTTACATTGTTATCATAATTTTTAATAATTTATAGATTAAAAAAAATATTTCGCTCATTTGAACGTTCAAAACTTTTGGTTCATTCGGTTGAATGGAAATTCTGTACAATTTTTTTTTTCTGCAAAATTAAGATTCTTTTAAACTACAATTGGGCAAAAATAATAATTTTCTATTAAATTCTATTAAAATATAATTCTAAAAAAAAATAATTTTAGTGCGTCTCCAAATTATTATTTAACAGAAATTCCATTATTCAATTGAATTTCTATAGTACAGAATTATTACTTAAGCAAATTTACAATTTTACAGAATTTATTTTATCGAATTTGAATATGTCAGTATTATTATTTGCTCGAATTTTCATTAGAATAGTCATTTTAAAGAATTTTTAATTTAACAAAAACAATATTTTTAATAAAAATTCTAACAAATTAATTTTAGAATTTAATCATGCGCCTCATGCACCTTGACATAACCTTAAACTGAAAATTGATTTTATCATACAAATAAAACTACAATTCAAATGAATTTTAACTTTAAAATTTTAAAACTAAATTTTGAAATATACAGTTATACAATTTTCGAAAAAAAAGTTATTTTCAACTAAAATTTACTGTCAAATAATTTATTTCACATTTTTTGTTTTTGAAATTAAAAATGAAACATTTGTAATTTTTATTCATTTTTAATTTAACAAAATTTGAAATTTAAAAGAATTTTTCTAGTTTAAATTTTCATTGAAACGATTATTTGACGGAATTTTCATTTGAACGTTTTTTTATTTATTCAAATTTTAATTAAACAAAATCTACATTTAATAGAATTTTTTGTTAAATTTAAATTGTTATTTACCTGAATTTACATTTGATTTGCTTTGTTTTCTAAATGAGATATATATCTTTTGAAATCAAAAATAAAAATTATTTTTTTATTTATTACTGAACAGTTAGATCTATATTAATTAAAATTCTTATTTTAATTATTCTCGATTTTATGTCTTTTCGATCGTCTGGCTCACAATGCATTTTTACGAACTGGCAAAGATTATATTTAATAAAATAGAATCTATGACTATTCCCCTTACTTAAAAAAAATTAAATTCATCGAATTTACAGTGGATAGATTTTTTAAAAATCGAAATAAAATTAATTTTTTTATATTTACAAATAAATAAATTAATTAATCATATTAATTTTTTTTTATTTTGTCAAACCATTTAAAAAGTTTTATTTTAAAACAAATGCTTTATTGTATTAAACTAACAATGACATTGGATTGTACAGATAAAACAACAAGAAAAACGTGTTTTTTCATTTAAATGGATTTTATTAAATTTTTTCTTTTTGTAAAGAAATTGTATATACAAATTATTACGATTAAATATACAATAATGCAATAATTATACAGTAAAAAAAAAATTATTCAAGTCCAAATGTGATTTTACCATAAATGAAAATATTGATGCAAATAGAGAAATTTAATTTTTAAAACGCAATTTTTATGATTAATAGTAAAATACATATACAATGTCTCGCGCGTGTAAATAATTTTTTATTTTACGATATAATTAAAAACTAATAACAAAATGTCGTAAACACTAAAGTAATATACAAAACTTGGTACTTAGTGTGGCTGACATAAATGATTTAATAACTTTAATGATATTAATTATAATTTGTAATCATTTGTTGATAAACACTCAGAAAACTTCCTTCTTCCTGGGATTCAAGATATGAATTGTCGATATGAAAATAGCTTGTGAAAAAAAAGACAAAAATGACTCGTATGTAAATGAAACCTTTTTTTAAAAATTTTTTTTTTCATTTATAAAATTACAGGTCTCTAAATTTTCAATTTCAATAACAAATTATCAGCACTGAACGTTATATAAAATTTCATTTTTAATCTTGTTTCTTTTACGATCTTAACTTTTCAATTTTCAGTTAATTATCAACCATTTTTTTTCTAAAAATATTTTACGAATTTTAAATAATTTTTAAAAATTTAATTTTGTATAATATACCATATTTTTGTATCCTTTCATTTTTTTTCTTTTTAAAGGAGAAAAAAATTTAATCATTTTTTGTTTTTCCTTTTCAAAAAAAAAAAAAAAAATTGGCGCCAGTTTTGTGTTAAAAATTTTTTTTCTCACAGTGATATCAAATCAAAAATAGGGGTCAAAAAAAAAAAGAAAAAGAAAAAAAAAATGTAGACAGAGCTTGAAAAAGTCGATAAACTCTTACCGAAGCTGGAATCTTCGTGTCATCGCCTACTATATGTTTTATCCAATGACCTCTGACTTGAAAAAAAAATTCCGTTATGACGATGAAAACTTAGCGCGCTAACTCTCTCAAAGTTGATTCTATACCTAATTATTAAAGCTGACCTGTTGTCGATTAATTGGATAGTTATCAAAGGTCAATAATATGACTTAAGAGTCTTAAGACATTATTTTAATACGGTGAAAAAAATCCGTTTGTTCTTTGTATAATCAAAATATGACCTGATTACGCGTTATCCTCTTTCTCTCTTTGAATATAGATTTTGGTGCGACTTTTATTATTTATTTTTGTTTGTTTCATTATTTCAAATTTATTTTGATAGTCATTTAAAATTTCGTTTATTTTATTTTCAATTGATTATAAAATTAAAATACAAATTTTAAGTTAAAAACAAAAAAAAAATTGTTTAAATTTATTAAAAAATTTTATACTTTGGGAGTTTTTTTTTAAAAAAAGGCAGTTAATGAAATTGAAGATTTGGAATATGAGTAAGGATCCGATTTCTAGTGGGCAATGTTACATTGCTTGCGATTCACTTTATGTGCGACAATTATTATCTTTGAAGGTGAAAAAAAAAACTTGCGGAAAAAAAATTTTTTAATTGTAATATAATTTATGTATATAAAAATTTTGTTAAACAAAGAAGTGGAACGAAATTATTTATAAAAATAAATTAATTTTTATTACAATAAAAACGAAAAAAAAGTAATTTTAATTCTAAAAATATTGTTTTATGTTTCTTTATTTACATTTTTTTTTTTTTTATCTACCGGAAATGAAATTTTTTTGTAAAAATACTTTTTTCATTAATTCATTTTTTGATTAAATAGAAAAATAATTTTTACGATTTTTTTTTTATAGTAAAAAAAAAGCGGGGGGGAAAAGTGAGTAAATATATATAATTTTTGAATGGATTTACTGAGAATTTAGCATTTAAGCCTGTTAAATCGAGAACATATCACTATTTGGTATAATGTTGATCGCGGATAAACGAATCTGGTACTTATTTACGTTGGCCTTAGCGTTTCTCCATTCGCCAATATAAACTTTGTGAGTAAAGGTTAATAGTTTTACAGATAAGACCGCGAAAATCGTAGAACGCATAATTCATTCAATGAGAACGTTCCACTTGGGCATTTTGCTTTGCTCTGCTGCGCGAAAGCTATATAACACACAATCTGGCAATTCTTTTTAATTTGTTTCTTTTAAAAAAAAAAAGTGTTTTCTTTTATGTGATCAGTGCTATTAAAAAAAAAAATTAATTCAATCAGAAAATTTTAAAATAATAATAACAATAATAAAAATAATAACAACAATGAGTGTTTTTGAAGATAATTTATCTAATGACGAAATTTAGACATTTTGCGTGTGTTGTGAACAAAAAAAAAAAACAAAAGGAATGTAATTGAAAATAAAAAGTGAATAACAGGAAGAAGAAAATCTGTGATTTTTGAAAATAATATTTATAATAAGAAAAAAATTGAATAAAAGGAAGAATCATGAAGGAAAAAATTGATAAAAATTATCAGTGATTTTCAAGATGTTTATGTTTTTTTTTTCACATGAGTTAGTTTATTTTTTTTTTTTAATTTTTTATTTATTGAATGTTTTTCTTTTTCTTTTGTTTAAAGTAATTATTTTTCAAGTACCAATTTTTTATTTTATTTTTACAAAAAAAGTCAATTTAGTAAATTAATAAAAAAAAATGACAAGATTTGTAGAATTTTTTTTTTTATTTAAAAAAAAAATCAATGTACTGGAACAATGTGTATTTTTTCAGCAATCTATAGCGGAGGTTCTTCATCAAGCGGTGGTACAGACATTTTGGATTTGTCAATGCCTGACAAAAATTCAGTGACCGAAGTTTGCTACGTGTGTGGAGATGAATTCAAAAGAGGCTCACTTAGTCACATAGCGGCAAAGCCACTGCCAAGTCAACCCCATCCTTCTTCCAGTCCACCGCCATTTTTTCCCTCGCTTATGCTACATCCTAGACCAAGCAGGAGTAGGCCAATGGATAGTGCTGGTCGTGTACAGGTAAAAATAAATCTCAATTTAAAATTAAAAGGTCATTTTTGACATTCACAAATGTTGATTTTTCAATTTTTTTTTTTTCACACAGTTGATTGAGCAAATTGAGTATTTACCTGACTAGAAATTTATATCGAACAAATATTGATACCTCACGTGTTCATGTATTACAAATCAAAGTGTCCATCGACCCTTAAAAAATTTAAATCACTTTGAATTGAATTAATTAAAATTAACAAATTAATTGAATTTTTCAAAAATTTTATAAAATAATATTTATTGTTTAAAATACAATAAAAATCTCAGTTTAATATAAAATTATAATTATAATCGTAACGTATATGAAAAAAAAACGTTACGAATGTTTTTTTTTCGATAAATATTGAATTTATTTTCTCTTTTCTTTTTTAGGCTTGTTCAGCGTGTCAAAATCATCTTTTACAACAATGGAAAAATTATACACGTCAGGGTGTTCCGCACAGTAATCGAGATTATGCTCTACGTAAACGACAAGCGCCAGCAATGGATACAACAACATTTATTTGTTACACTTGCGCTTTGGAATATCCTTCATCCAGTATTAGATTGCTTTATTGTTGTCCGAATCCAGAGAAAGAGGCATATTTTCCATTTATTTGTTCTCTGAGGCCACCGCCTGGCGCGAGTCCCATTAGTCCTCAGGGAATGGTTCAAGTTTGCTCGATTTGTTATAAAGCCATTCCTCAAAAGCATCAAGTTTTTGGTGGTGAAAATCATGAACCACAAGCAATTGTTCAAACAACTGAATTCAGACAACAAGGTAAAAAGATGTATTCAATTTTTACAAATTTTTTTAATTAAATTATTTTCATTTTAATTAGAAAAGTTACTGGTCTTAAATTGTACGACTTTTTCAATTTATTTTAATAAAAGGCAATTTTTTGTTACTTATTTAACAAAATAAAATTAAAAATCAATTAATTTATTAAATTAAAAACAAAATACTTACGTGATCTTTTTTTTAGTATAAACTGTAGATGTTTCAAAATTTAATTATTTTGAAAAATTTGAATCTAAAAAGTCTTTGCAAAATTAATTATTTTCAATAATTTTAATCAAAATTCTTTTAAAATTCAATTTTTTAAAAATATTTTTCAATTAAAAATTCTCTAAAATTTTGATTATTGCCTAAAATTCTTTTAAAAAAAATCTTTTGGAATTCAAATATACAAAATTTTCAAAATCTCCTGTTTAATTAATTCTAAAAATATTTTTCTTCTGAAATTCAATTATTTTTTAAATTTCTATTTAAATTTCTATTTAAATTTCTTCGCTGAGTTAATTATTTTTTATAATTTTATTAATGAAGATCTTTTAAAATTCAATTATTTAAAATATTTTTTTAACTATTTATTGTTTGTAATTTGTAAAAAAAATTCTTTAGCAATTTAATTTTACAAAAATTTCAATTTAAAATCTATAAACTTGTTACAAAATGGGAAATATTAAATTAGATTGAATTTTTATCAAGTTTAAAATAAAAAACTGATTCTATTGCAATTTTTATAATTAATTTTTCTCACAATATTAAAATTCAATAAAAATTTAATAATGTTGTCTTTCTAGGTAACATTATCAATATATGTTTTAAAATATTTAGAATCTATATTCTTTTCTTCGTAGAAGAAAAAGTGTTTTTTTTTTTTTTAATATAATGTCATGCTGAAAGTAGAAATTTCTGACGAAAACTTGTTAGAGATTTTAATAATAAATTTTTATATCGACTAGAAACATCGCTTTTATCCCCTTTTTCTATAGTTATTACACCGAGGGATAAAGTATTCAATTTTTTTTAAATTAAATTTTTTAGTATCTTGTTGAGAATTTTAATAGTTTGTTAAAATAAGTTAATTTTTAATATGTTAATAATATTATTATTATTATTAGGTATTATTACTATTATTTCGATTATTATTTAATAATAAAATTTTTATTTTTTCAGTAGTTAAGATTTAAGTTTAAATTTTTTCACACAAAAATTGAATATTTTATAAGCAATTACAAAATTTATTATTAACATTTGGAAAAATTAAAATTTTTCTTTGTAATTTTAAATAATAATCTTTTTATTTGAGATAATTTTATAAAGTTATTACAATTGATTTTTTATATTTATATATAAAATTTAATATGTTTAGAATGTTTACAACATTTACTCATGATCAACGATTGAAAACAAAAAATTATTTTTTTTTTGTGAAAATATTAATCACTTATTTACCTACTAATTTTCTTTTAAATTATTGATTGAGAAATGATACAAAAAATTACAATAATTACAATAATTTGAATTTTATTTAAATTTGAAATAAATAGAATATTAAGAATTTTTTTTTTTTGAAATCTTTAAGATCTTAAAAATTTGTCTTTGTTCGATTCTAAAATATTTGAAAGAAATTTTCTTAATATTTCTATTGAATTATTCTTATTAAGGGATTATTAAAACTAATTTAATACCTAATAATAATAATAATAATAATAATAATAATAGTTATTTGAAATAAAATATTTATTAAGTAATTTTTGACATTTTAGGACCATCTCCACGACCTGCAGTTGCAAAATCTCCAGCAAATTCAGCAACAGGTAGTGATATCAGATTTAAACCATATGACTTGAACAAATCATCAAGTAAATCGCGTACCGCAAGTGTCAAGGGTGCGAGTTCAAGTCAACGCAATTCTCCTAATAATGGTCCAGCTGAAAATGGTACAGTTGCTCTTGGTCAAAACTACAGATGTTATATTTGTGAGAGACTTTATCCTCGCACTCATATGGAATGGTTAGTTTTTAATTTAAATATTATGAAAAAATTTCGGTAAATTTAAATGAAAATATTTTTTCTTTTATAATAAATTTATGAATTTAAAAAAAAAATTATTGAGCTTTTGTTTTTTTTTTTTTTTATGTAAAACTTTCAAAGCTTTGAATTTTTTTGTTGAAAATTTATCAAATTATCGCAATATTGTTTTTTTAATTTATAATATAAGAAATTGAGAAAAAGAGAATTGAAATTAACTGTAATTTTTGTTATTTATTTAGGTTATCAACGAGTCCAGAAGGTATGAATTCACATGCGATGCATTTTCCATGTTTGAGAAGTATGGTGAGAACTTCGGAAAATGCTTGTATGGATAGTCATGGAAGGGTATTGGCATGCAGTCATTGCGTTAATCATTTGGCTCAACAATGGGAAAATATGGACGCCGAAAGAGTTCCTTTAGAACGTCGAAGGTTGGTTGCTTTTTTTTCTTTATTTTACATTTTCTTCAATGTTTCATTTCGTTTTTAATGAAATTAATATTTTCAATGTTCAATTTTCTTCAAATTGAAATTTTTAATAGTACCTAAAGAAATTTAAGTAAAGAATTATTCTGAAAAAATTATTTTACTATAAAGAATAAATAAATAAATAATAATAATAATAGATAAATTTAATTAATTTATTTTAGAATTTACGGACTATTGACCCTTTACAGAAAAATAAGAAAATATATAAATTTAAACGATAAACGTACTTAAACGTTAATTAAAGAAATAATAAATGAAACCTTTTTTTTCCATATGGAAACAAATATTTGGGAATAAAATTTCTTTTCGTGGAAAATTAAAAAATTTTGTACATTTTTATTAATCTTTTCGACATTAATTGAAATATTTTTTAAATTCAATTATTGTTTAAATTTTGTAAAAAAAAAAAGTTCAATTATAATTTATTAAAGTTTCGATTTAAAATCTGAAATTCAATTATTTTGAAAGATTTTAACTTTAAATTTTCAAAAATTTAATTATTTCTAAAATTCTTTAGAAAATTAATTGTTTGTTAATAATAATAAAATATTTATTATCTAATGGTTTTTTTAAAAAATAAGAAATCGACTTTTCTTGTATTGTAAATTGACAAAAACGTCTTTTTTCTACGTCTAAATTCGATCCGAGGCCTAAAAAACCAAAAATTAAATGTATTTAGATATTAATAATTTATAATGAAAAAAGATTAAAAATAATTTAATCTTGTACATTTAATATATTTTTGTCATTTAAATTTATTAAAATAGTACCTAGAATAAATTTTTAACCTGGGAAACCAGAAAAAGTCCTGGAATTTTATTTGGAAAAAGTGCTAGACATCCTGTAAAATTAATTACAGTTTAAAAATTATATTTTTTTTCATTACAGATACGATATTCCTAGTCCACATCCAAATGGCGATGTGAGTCGTTCAATTGCCACACCGCCAAGTTCAAGCTCAGACAGAACTTTCGGCAGTAATCCCGGAACATCGAGCAGTTCAATTTATTGCTTTTTATGTGGATTACATAGTGATCTTACACTCGCTCGTGTATTATATGGAAGACCACAGGGTCGTAATGCACCATTTTTCCCAGAATTATTGCGACATCAATCGCCAACAAATGCTGAACAACTTCGTGAGGATGGCTCAGCGCTTGTTTGTACATTTTGCTATCATACACTATTGGCGCAATGGCGCCGTTATGAATCATTAACTGGCGCACAACAAGTAAATCCTCAGGATCGACAATACAATACTCATGATTATTGTTGTTACGTGTGTGGCATTACAACTTATAGAAAACGTGTACGAGCATTGCCTGTTAAAGATTTTCCATTTTTGAGGTATCATCGACAACCTGATAAAAGTTTATTATTGGAAAATGGTGATTTTGCTGTGGTTTGTCTTGATTGTTATGAGACATTGAGAACGCAGAGTCTTGAATATGAACGATGGGGTTTGCCTGTTGAGAAACGTGAATATAATTGGATTGTACAACCACCGCCGCCTGAAGATAGTCCTGAGGCTGCAATTGCACGATTACCATCTGGAGAACGTTCGGAGAAGGTGGTGAGTTTATTTATTTACAGTATTTAAAAAGGGTGAGAAAATAAATACGACTTTTTCCAACTTTTTTCGAATTATTTTAATAAAATGCGCGACTTTTTCGATTTTTTTTACAGTTTTTAAAAAAAAATTTTAAACAAAATACGTTTTTTTTAATATACAATGCAGATATTTTTCAGATCTTCTTTATTTCAATTATTTAACAAATTTTTAACTGAAATTCTTCACTAAATTAATTCTTTTCAAAAATTTTTATGAAATTGTACGAAGCTGAAGTACGCAACGTTTATGATAAACGATTTTTTAAAGAAATAATTTTTTTAAATGAAAAATTCTATAATTTTTCACCTAAAAAATATTTCTTGTAGTTTTCAGTAATGAACAAATTATAAAAAAATATTTTTCAGGCAAAAAATTAGAGAATTTTTCATTTGAAAAAATTATTTCTTTAAAAATCGTTTATCATAAACGTTACGTATTTCAGCTTCGTTGAAATTGTTAAAAAATTCAATTATCTTAAACTATTTTGCAATTACAAATTTTTTTATAAAATTTAATAATTGTTTATAATTAAAAAAAAAATTAGCAAATAAAATTACCAAAAAATTTTAATTCAAAAATCACTTGAAATTTAATTATTTTTTTTCACTTAAAAAGTTTTCAAATTACTGTATTTTTGTTTGCAGTTTCAAATAATTTTTTTAGTGATATCGTCAAAAATTTTTAATTAAAAATCACTTGAAGTTCAATTAATTTCAAAAATCTAAATTGTAAATCTTTGAAAATTCAATTACTTTTAAAAAATGTTATCTAAAATTATTTGATAAATTATTTTTAGTAATTTAAAATTTAATTATTGTGTCTGAAAATTAACAAAATCTTTTGAAATTCAATTATTTCTAAAAATTTCAACTTAAACTCTTCCAAAATTATTATTTAGAAAAAAAATTTTATTGAAATATCTGTAAAACTTGATTAAGTATTGCCTGAAATTTTTTTGACCACCAAAACCAAAAAACTATGACAAAATTTTTAATTCGAATAAATTGCTTACATTTATAAACTTGTACTGTTTTTGCACAAACTGATTCAATTATTTGGCAAATTTTTAACAAAATTTCTTTTCTAAATTAATTACTTTCAATAATTTAAATGAAATTATTCATAAATTAAATTATTTTAAAGTATTTATCAATTAAAAATTTTATTAAATTCAATAATTGTTTAAAATATAAAAAGAAAATCAGCAAATAAAATTACCGAAAATTTTAATTCAAAATCACTTGAAATTCAATTATTTTCAAAAATTTCAATTTCAAACTTTCTAAAATTTAATTCTAAAATTTTTCATCTAAAACTTTCGGAAATTTAATAATTTCAACTTCGGTATTTCAATTATTCAATATTCATTTAATTATTCATTATTCAGTTCTTCGGAAATTTAATTATTTTTCATGATTTTTATAATGTTCTTTAAAAATTGAATTATTTGAAAGAATTTTTCAATTCAAAACTTTTGAAATTCAATTTTTTTCTGTAATTTCTAATAAATTCTTCAACAACAGAAATCAACAAAAATTTCAATCAAAAATCATTTAAAGTTCAATTTTTTTCAAAAACTTAAATTGCAAGTCTTGGGAAATTCAATTATTTTTAAAAAAATTGTTATCTATAATTATTTAATGAATTATTTTCAATTTTGTAAAATTTAATTATTCTCTGAAATTTAATAAAATCTTTTAATATTCAATTATTTCGAAAAATTGCAACTGTAACTCTTCCAAAGTTCAATTATTTTTAATAATTTTCATATTTCTTTAAATATTCAATAAAAAAAATAATAAATAAATAAAATAAAAATAAAAATTCTGAAATTGAATTGTTAGAATTTTAAAAAAAAACCTACAGCACTTTAAATTTGTAAAAAATTGATTTCAAATTTAAAATCTTTTGCTATTCCATTATATTTAGAAAAAATTGTATTTGAAAATCTGTAAAATATAATTATTGTCCGAAAATGTTATGACTATTAAAATTAAAAAATATGCCAAAATTTAAATTCGAATAAATTGCTTAAATCAGACTGCAAAAAATTGGTAAATCAAAATTTCTTCTGAAAGAATTTATATTAAATGGAAATTAATTTAAATAAGAGTTGAATTCATATAAAAAATTTAATTTAAATCAAAATTAAATGAAACTTTGGTTAAATAAAAACTTTGCTAAATATAAAATTCTGTTAGATATTATTAAACATTCTATTAAATGATTTGAGTTCAGTTAGACTAGAATTATTTTTGTTTATTTATTTTTCGAAATAAGACAACAAATTAATTCTTTTCAAAAAGATTATTTTTTGTTTTGAAATATATTATCTATACTGATTAATATTTTTATAAATATATTATTATTATATTATATTTATGTAATAATAATAATAATAATAATAATAATAATTATAATAATAATAATAATAATAATAATAATAATAATAATAATAATATATTGTTTAAAGTTATATATACTTAATAAAGTAAATTTTTTTTAGGTACCATCGACTTTAACCGTGAAGCCAGTGAGGAAAAATTGTTCGCCGAAAGCCCCAGAGAAGAAGCCGCCCGTAAAGATTCCAGAAAAAGATCAAGGTAAGTGATTTTATTTTTTAATTAAAATTTTTAAATAATTTATTTACCTATTTTTTTCATAATACACAAGATTTCGTCATTTAAAAGGAGATAATACGGTTCTATTTTATTTATAATGAAAAAATGGATTTTTTTTTATTTACCATCTATTCGGAAATATTCGAATTTTTTAAACAATATTTTATTTTCTGATTTTTTTTTTTTTTTTTTGACTTTTTGTCGCTAAATAATCTCTAATCTTGAAAATAAAATTTTGTTTTTATGAAGAGAAATAAATACTTATTTAATAATTCTCTCAGCGAATTTGAAAATTACATAAATCGAATATTGCGAAAGAAAAAAAATAAAATGTTATCTTAAGATATTGAGTATAAATTAACTTAATGCGGGAAAATTTGTAAATTATTTTTGTTTGCATTTTGACGATTTTCCCCTGGCGAATCTTAAATTTTATAAATGAAATTGTTTTTTCTTTTTCTTTTGTGCCTCTTGAAACCAACTCGAAAAGGGCAATGAAGCCGCGCGAAAACAAGAAAAAGCGTATAAATAAAAAGTGTAACGGAAATATCGAGAGGATTGAGGTTTTTTTTTTTTTTTTTTTTAAAAAAAAAGAGAGAAACAAGCAAAAAAGGCTTCTTTTACTCGAACCTCTTGAACGATTCTCGACTATCACTACACTATATATCCTTTTGTCTGTCGGGATTTTTAAGAGTTCCACTCTACGGCTCATCCACTTTCATCCTCTTTTCCTCAGCACCCCTTTTGCTCTCTAGTCTCTCTTCCTGTAGTCGTGATTCTGTATCTCTTTTAAAAAGGGAGTTTGAATATCCATATATACATATATATCCAAAGGAAGCATCCCTTCAATTTCCGAGACGTTTGATATTTCAGTATCGATCGAATTTCGGAAAGAATTTTCTCTCCCCTTTCATCCTTTTTGAATATTATTAAATTTATCCCTTCGATGGTATTATATAGTTGACTCGATATATTGCCGCGTGTAATCTTTCAAATTTTTATAAGCCAACTTCTTTTCCTTTATTAGAATTCCTTTCTCGAAAAAGAATTACCGTCAAGTTCTTATCGAATCTTTTTCTTCTTCTTCTTCTTCTTTGCGTTTTTTTTTCTTTTCGTGTTTCCTTGTCGCAATCTTTACTATTATTAAGTTTCATTTTATGGAAAAACTTAGATGTGACTAATATATTTCTTAGCTTCTTGTTTCTCGACAATTCTACGATGGAGGGAGGACTCTTTTAATTTGAAAAGTACATCACGAGAAAAGTATGTGCGTTAGATATATAAAATTCGTTGAGATAACTTTTTAAATCTAAAATGGAAACCTGAGATCGAAATAAAAAGAGACAAAAAGAGATTCTTTTTTTTTTACGGAAACAGTTATTTTGTTACATTTCAAAGGTTATTTTTTATTATAATATAGGAAAAGTATTTAATTCTTATTAAGTATTGAAAAAAATTGAAATTAAAATTTTTTTTCTAATTTTTTTCTATTTATTATTTTTATATTTTTTGGATCAAAATTAATTTAAATATCAATAATTCCTTGCCAAATGGAATTTTATTAAAATTCAATTTTATTAAATAAAAAAAAGTCTGTTAAATGAAAATTTGTTTAAAAAGGAGGTGAAAATAAACGAAAAATTTTGGACAAATAGTTTTCATTAATTTACTTCAAAGTTTCGAAACTTAAATGATTTATACTTGAGGGATTCTATCAAAACAAATTTTTTAAATGTAAATACCTAACAAATAATAATAAAAAAAAAAAATACAAAATAATGAGATAAATAAATAAAAATAAAATTTTACCGAAAATTAAAGGTTGCATAAATAAAATGTCGAGAATACATTGTTAAATGATTAAATTCATACGTTGAAGAAATATAGAGTTTGGATTCAAAACTAAAAAATAGAAATTAACCAATAATAATAATAATAATAATAATAATAATAATAATAATAATAATAATAATAATAATAATAATAATAATAATAATAATAATCAAAACATAAAATACAGGCCTCGGATTATATAACTTTTAAGGCTATTTTTCAAAAATACGATTTTTTTTGACTTACTTTAATAAAGTGCAACATTTCGACTTTTTTTTACATTTTTTTTTATAAATTTTTAAACAAAATACGTTTTTTTAGTATTCAATGCAGATTTTCTTCAGATCTTCTTTATTTCAATTATTTAACAAATTTTTAACCAAATAAAATTACCAAAAATTTTAAATTCAAAATCACTTGAAATTTAATTATTTGCAAAAATTTCAATTATTTTCAATGATTTTTATAATATTTTTTTAAAATTCAACTATCTGAAACCATTTTTTGCTTAAAAAATTTTCAAATTATTTTATTTTTGTCTACAATTTATAAAATAAATTTTTTATTAACAGAAAACATGAAAAATTTTTAATTAAAAATCACTTGAAGTTAAATTAATTTCAAAAATATAAATTGTAAATCTTTGAAAATTCAATTACTTTTAAAAAATTATATCTAAAATTATTATTAAATTATTTTTAGTTCTGTAAAATTTAATTATTGTGTCTGAAAATTAACAAAATCTTTTGAAATTCAATTATATTTAAAAAAAAATTTCCTACTTTAACTCTTCCAAAATTATTAGTTAAAAAAAGAAAAAAAAATTATTTAAAAATCTGTAAAACTTGATTAAGTATTGCCGGAAATTTTTTTGACCACCAAAATCAAAAAACTATGACAAAATTTTAAATTCGAATAAATTTGTCTAAATCAGATTTGAAAAAATTATAAAAATGAAACTTTAAAAATTTTTTTTAGAAATTTGTCCTACCTAAATAAAATTTTGAAAATTTCTCTTACAATTAATTCGATTCTGAAATATTTGAAATAAATTTTTTTTTATAATATTTTTATAGAATTAATCTCATTACAGATTTGACAAAAATGAATTTAATATCTAATAACATTAGTTATTTAAAGTAAAATATTTATTAACCAATGAAATTTTGTTAAAATAAAAAAAATCGACTTTTTTGAAATATAAATCGACAAAAACGACTTTTTTTGTGCCTTAAAGTCGATCTGAGGCCTGAATTAATAATTATTTTTTTTTTTAATTATGTGACGTAAAAAATATTTTTTTCAACGTTAAACAAATTGTTTCAGGTTACAGAATTAAAAAAAAAAAAAAACAAACAAACAAGCAAATAAAATAAATATTCTCGTGTTTTTTTTTTTTTTTTTTTGCAACTTTGTTGAAGGACGTTTGTTCCAATTTAACGAAATTGAAATGGATACAAGTTGTTTCATAACTATTGCGACTCTTGCATGCGCTTATATTATCGTGACAAACGGAATATGTGTATATTTATGTACATGTGAGTATATAATATTATATAGATATATAGATAAGCGAGCTTCGCATGTTCAGCATTCTCCTCATAATTAATTCACTCGCTTCACCACGGTTTGCGATTTCTCTTAACAGTGCCAGCAATTCCTTTTCATTGCTTCTGGTCGATGAATTAACATGCCTAAACTCCATATACTCCACAAAGGAATCTCATTTCCTTACATGCGCATGTTTGTCATGAAAGAATCTTTCCCCCTTCAGAATCTTTAGAAAACGATCGACGAAATACTTGAGATGTTTTCGTGTATTTTTTTTTTTTTTTTTCATTTCTTTTTTTTGCAATAAAGAATTTCACTTGCGTAAGGGATTTTCAATTAAACAATAAGTCGATGCGAAGAGGAACTTTCTATATTTTGGAATTTTTTTTTTTATACAAGAAAACATATTGATGCTCTTTAAATATATATTTTTTTTAATACTAGCGTTTAACGTGTGCAACTTTCTTTTTTCAATTTTACGAATATAAAACATACAAAATAGAAAATATTAAAATATTATAAATTTATAAAATTAAATCTAATTAATAATTTAGGAATTGTTAAATAATTTTTAATGGTCTGAAAATTTTTTAATTGGAAATTGTTTACTTTGTGTAGCATTTTTTTCGCGGTGATTTTTTTTTTTTCTGAAAATCAGTTCGTGAAATTAAATTTTCCCCATTTTAATGTTTATTTCCCAATTTAATTTTTTTTCCTCTCACGATTGGAGTTGCTTTTTTTCTTTTTTTTTTTTTTAAGGCAGTAGTAATGAAATGTAAACCCTAGTTTAATTAACTGAGGGGTTGCTCAAGTTATTCGCGCAATTTGTAAAGGAATTTGCCCGCCTCTTTATATCACCCATCTCTCTGCCATCTTGGCAACGAAACAAGGAATATATTAGAAAGACAGGGACATGAGAAAAGATTTTTTGGAAATGGGAACAAAATAAGTAATTGCGAAAATTAATGGTAATCAATAATTCACTCTTTTTTTAAAAAAAATAAAATTATAAATATTTTTTTTTAATAATATTAATTTATTATTATTATTTTTTTTTAACGAATTTTTACGTTACAAAATTTTTATGTGCCGAATTTTTATTTTACAGAATTTCTCTCTATATAACTTTTTATTTAAAAAAATATGAATTTAATCGAATTTTTATTTTATAGATTTCTCATTTAATGAGGTTTAACCCATTAACATAACCTCAAACTAAAAAGTAGTTTTTAACAGAACTAAAAATATATTTAAAATTTATTACACTCAAATTCGGCAAATCTAATTGTACAATTTTGAAAAATAATTATTTTGAATTAAAATTTGTTGTTAAATAATAATTAATAAATATTTTGTATTTTTTCTTAAAATTTAGTGAAGAATTATAATTTTTATCCAATTTTTATAAACAATTGCTCATTTTTCTCTTTAGAAGATTCTCTACAATTCTGATTTTGTGATTTTGTTAAATAATGGTTTGTTTAAAAAATATAAAAAATAAAAATTTTATTTGTTTATTAACTTTTGAACAAAGTATTTTAAATAAAATTCAATAAACAGAATTGTAGAAAATCTTCCAAAGAGCATAAAAATTACAA